TTGCTGCTTCCACTTCCACGTCCGCTTCCCTAGGGTCATCGCGGGCTTGCCGGAGGCTCCGGCATGGGCTCCTTCTTGGCGAGGATGCGCTCCGCGTCGTTCAACGTCGCACGGAGCGTCGGGAGAGTAGACAGTTGGTTAAGAAAGACAAGTTTGATCCGAGGGTGCCTGCGGATTCGCATAGAAAACGGCGCCCTCAAGCTCGACGACTTGGCAACGCCCCTGAGTCTCGGGAGAGACTGTTCTGAGGCTCTTCTTTCTCTGCCAACCGTCCTTGGGCAAATCGGAAACATCGATCACCATGTGTTGGCCTGCCCCTACCTCGCGCGCTCTCGACTGGCTGCCATCGGGCGCCTTCCACGTGATTGCGCCGCCTGGCATATCGAGAACCATGCCAAGCTGCGTGGGCATCTCTGCAGGGAGTTGCGAAGGCACATCAAAGGCAATCAAGTTCACAGCAAGAGTATCACAGTTCTTTGCCACGGCAAAAAGTAATGGCCAGCTGGGGGAAAATCTGGTATATCCTCCAACGACCATGGCGTCCATTTCCAGGGCGGGTATCTGCGCGGGCTTCGGGCCGTAGGTACCCCCAAGATATGTCACCATTTTCTCGACTTGATATTTGCCGCATGCTCCATGCTGATCTCCAGTACCCAACAGGCCGAAACCCATCCGAACCTGAAGTCCAATGAAAACCTGACCCACCAGTGTCGGCAGCAACGAAGATAGGAGAGGCGAAGGAACTGACTCCAAGCTGGATTGTAAGATCCCGTTGGCAAGCGTCATGCAGAGCATCATCTGCTTCGAGGGGAGCTGCTCGGACCGCCGAGGCATGCTTGTCGCTTGCGTCCTCGCCCGTCCGGCTCGTTCGCGCAAACTCGAGCCCAGTGCCGCGTCTCCCCGCGTCGGGCGGCTTATCAAGTCACTGTTGGTCCACCGCTTCTGTCGGGCATGTCCCGCGCGTTTCCCTCGACGCTTTCCCTTTCCGGGAGCGCTTGGACTTCCCCTCTGGGGCCTCGTTCAAGCTTCCGTTTGCGTAAGCGCTGTCGTACCTGACTGTAGTTAGCAACATGGACGGCGATGGCCTCATCTTCATCAAGAACCGGGTCGTCGGGCACGTCTTCAACTACGACGAGTACACCGTCATCGCCCATGTACTTGATGGCCCTGTTCATGATCTCGTCTCTCTGATTGGACTCGGGCAAAATCAACGCAGACGGTTGCATGATAATCCACTAGCATTCGTCGCGAACCGAATCCTGATCCTTGCGCCCGCTATCATCTCCTTGATGTCAGAAAAAATGCGAGGGGGAGCTCATGCCGTGGATGCGATGGCAGCCCCTGCCAGAAGGTAGTGGCCGCTCAAGTTTCAGAAGCCTTTCGCGCGCCAAGTCAAAGTCGCATGGCCCCTCTGCCCAGTGCTCAACCGCGCCCCAAGCAACGTCATTAAGCTTGGATTCCACCCGAAATATGTACCCTTTCAAATCCACTGGCGAAGTCGCGCGCTTCTCGAGTTCTCGGAGAAGCACGCGCCTGCGCGCGATATAATTGGCAGGGGATACATCGCGCTGACGCTTGTCTCCTGGGTAGAAAAGCTTCTCGAAGGCCCTTGGCACCCTGCGGTCTTGGCACTCGGCAACAGCCTCCGGGATGCGTTTCACCGCGCTGTGCCCGCCGCCCATCGGTAGACAGCTGGCCCTGGGCAAGTTCGTTAATCATGATATTGAGGCTGTCTTTGCATTGGCGGTAGATGAGGTGCCCGCGCCGTGCTCTCGAAGCTCTGGTAGTGGCGACCACATCTGCCGCTCTTCCATGTGAGGGTCTAGGCGAGTATCCTGGCGTTTTCCATCCCAAGTGGGAGATCGGTCGTTTGGCATCGTTGGGGCCTCCCATCGTTCAAGAAATTGCCTCCGTTGGCGACCGGAAGACCCGGCAGTGGTATCTCCCCAATAGGTCGGTGCAAAAAAGGTAATTGGCATAGCTCGCCCTTGCAAAGGCGCGCTCTGCCGATCTGGCGCAGCCGGCGACTCGCGCCCCCGCGCAGTCCAGCCCGACGAGGACTGTCGCACATTGGGCCGCGTCTCCGTCCAAGACTGCGATGGCCAGCAGGCCGAGTCCTGATCTGACCAGCCCGCGTTGTCACAACCTTCCCAGGGGGCGTCTTCTCGCCCTCCAGCTCCCGCCCAAGGGCCCTGATCTGGTTGTTGCCAAGGGCGCGCTGGAAGTTCATCCTCTCGAAGCTGAGCGTCGCCGGCGGGGCCCGCGGCAGCGCTCGGTGCAGCGGGGTAGAGGGCGGAAAGAAAAGGATAATTGTAAAGACGATGTCGCCCGATTATCGAATAAAGGGGGGGTCGCCCTGACCCCCCTCGTGGATCTCAACCGCAGGCCACGCCGCCGCCGTGGGTCGCACGGGGGCGACTGCGTGGGCGCAGAGAGGCACGCGGCGCAAATGGGGGCCCGCGCTTGAAGAGAGCGCGGGCGCGCCCGTCACCGGCGCGCCGCGATAGTTCGCGGGCCCTCGCGAGCCGATGCGGCGGCGCACAGGGGAGCGTAGGGGGGGAGAGGCATGCGGGGGCCTGACAAGCACAACGCGCGACTCCGCGCGCCCGCGCTCGCCGCCCCATTGTTTGCAAACGCGCCCGATTGATTCTGGCGCGCGCGCGGAAGGCTAATGTGGAAGCATCTTGCGAAAATGCCGACAAACTGGTGGTTTTCTGCGGAATCCGCAAGAGCGCCGGCGCGTGCTGTTTCTTGGAGACTTCTCGTTGCAACACAGTGTGTTTTTGTTTGCTCTCGTGGCGCTCGATGGAATCCACTATGTCTCCCGAGAAACTTAGACGTTCATGTCGACAGGATGGCCTATGCACAAAAGGAAATTATCTCTCACCGTCGGTGCCGGATCTGATATAAAACCCTTGCCCACTAGAAGATTTGGAAAACCCACATTCTGCATCTCGCTTGAACGTTTTCGCTGGATCAAGCACATGATGGAGGAACGCATTGCACATGGCGTTCAATAGTGATGTACGTGACATGACAGCAGAGGGACACATCGTAGTAATACAAAAAGCATGCAGTGCTGATCCTGCATTTGATGGGGTTGCGGATCACGCTGCATTCTCGCGCGCGCCTGGCAACGGGCGCCCGGTTGCGGGCGCGCGCCATGCAGGCCTCATTGTTTGTTCGTAGCTGACGCCCGCCATCAGGCATTCAGATGCCTTTGCGGCTCAACTGTCGGCCGCGCAGCTTGTTGCTGCAAGCCTGCAGCTTGGAACTTTGCCGCGGGCTCACACTGCGCAGCCTTTGCGTCGCCTACCGCTCGCGCGCTTTGCCGCCTGAGCTGAATTGCTGATCGATGGTCGCGTATCTTAGGTAAGCCACTGGCAAGCTGAAAGAATAATGCCGGACTTCATACGCTTGGCAACGCGCTGCGCACCCTAGTGTGCTACATCTACTGCGTAGGAGGAACGGCCGACAGCTGCCCTCGGCGGGGTAAGACAGCCCTCGCCTTCCGCGACGATGGGCGCGCAGCTAATGCCTGTTTTAATGCATTCAATTCTGGAGTCACGCCTTGAGCCAAGTCGTTGCGATGCGTTTCGTTCTCGTCGCCTCCCGGCTGTAAAGGGAGCTAGCTAGCTGATAGAGCAAGCATGCAACAGGCGCATCTGCAAACCCTTCGGGCTCCAGGGGGCGACGCCAGGATATGATGAATAAGTCTCGAAAGTCATACTGGCAACTATCGCGCACGGAGAAAAAGATACTTATTCTCCCTGTTCTCAGCCAACCACCCCTCGATGGCTTTGTTTCTAGTAAAACGTCCCGGAATGCTCTGAGAGCGCGCCAGCGGCCGTGCCAATGGCGCAAGCTCGCCGCGAGGTCGTTCTTCTGCGGCTGCAGCAGCGCGCGCCTCACCAGCCGGCGCAAAACATTCGGAGCCGCAGAGGGCCGAACGCCGCCCGCCGGCTTCCGTAGTGGCGTGAGCCGGGAAAGCGCCAGGGCCGCCGCCGCGCTCTCAGGGGCGCGGCCAATCGCGATCGTGCCGCAAGCCCCGCAGAATGCGTCCAGGGTGCCAGGGTCTGCCAGGGCCGCTTTCCAGTGCTCGTAGCGCCCTGCGCCTGCCGCCGCCACGCTGCCTTTGGGGTTCGTGCGCAGAGCCTTCTTGAGCGCTTGGTGGCCCATCGGAGACGCCAGCGGCGGCGCCGCTGGCTCCCGCCGGCGCGCGGTCAGCGGCTCCGCGGGCCGCGACTGGAGCAGCGCCTGCAGCCGCTCCCCGGTCTCCTGCGTCAGGGGGGCCAGCCCGGGGCTCGCCAGCAGCGCGGTTTATTCTTCTTACCCTTCTTTTTCCTCCTCCTCCTCCTCCTCCTCCTCTTCCTCGTCCTCCTCCTCGTCCTCGTCCTCCTCCTCCTCCTCCTCCTCTTCCTCCTCTTCCTCCTCTTCCTCCTCTTCCTCCTCTGCCTCCTCCTCCTCCTCCTCCTCCTCCTCCTCCTCCTCCTCCTCCTCCTCCTCCTCCTCCTCCTCCTCCTCCTCCTCCCCCAAGCGGTTTCCACTACAGCTGGGGGGACACCTAGTCCAAGCCCTTGATACAACTTTGCCCTTTGGCCACATCGGCGTTTCCAAAAGGCAGGGGGCGGCGGAGGTTCGCCGTAAGCGTCTTCTATCCGCCGTTCCCTGTGCTTGCCAAGGGGTGCTTTACTTGCTAAACATTGTGGGCAATTTTTGCCGCTTCAAGGAGGTTCCTAATGGCATTCTACAAAGCCCGCCGGCCACCCAGAAGGCACTCTTCAACAGCCAGAGCAGAGCTCCACTATGGCCAACGTAGTCATCCGAAAACAACCCCGTTTCCTGGCGGGTATTTTTTCGTCCTGGACTCATTGTTGATGGTGCCAGGGCCCGATGACGGGACCCCAGAACTCCAGAAGGGCCGCCATCGAGGAAACGCCAGGAGTGGTCAGATCATGCCATACCGTGTGAGACATAGGAAGAATGCCGAAGGCGACCAGATATCTGTCCATGGCCTGCTGGGCGCAGTCGACGATCTCGACCTGCATCTCCTCGGCCGCGGCGGGGACACCCCCCCGGGCGCGCGCCAACGCGCCAAAGAAACGGTGCGCCACCGCCGCTGTCACCGCTCACAGGAAACTCCTCCTCCTCCTCCTCCGCCTCCCCGTCCTCGTTTCGCGGCATCCTCCTCCAGTTCTGGCCTTTTCCTCCTCCTTTTCCCCCTCCCCCCCTTCCCCCTGCTCCTTCATCCCTTTTCCTTATACATAACTCCTCCCTGTCGCACCTCTAGACGTGTCGGAAGGCTGGGTCGGGCAGATACCTTGAGGCTTCCTCACCGCTTGCGATCCTGAAGCTTGAAACTCTCATCAATTTCAAACATGCAGGGCGAGTTGTGTGCACAATGTAGCTCTAGCCTCAGTGCCGCAAACATTTTTTCTTGAACGTTCGTGACAGCTTTAAGGATGGAAGGCGGGTTGTTTTCAAAATATGGCTCTCGCCAAACGACGCGCACAGTCGCCCTACAAGTTAGCACTACTTTCAATGATGGAGGGGGTCGTCTTCAAAATGTGGCTCTCGCCTGGGCAGCCTGCACTTTCGCCTTGAGCTGTTGCAGCAACTACCAGGAAGGAGGCAAGGTAGTTTGACACATGCGGTTTTCGTCTTGACACCGCGTACATTCGTCTTTAAAAATGGCACTAATTTCAAGGATGGATGCCGATTCCTTGTCAAACGGAGCTCTCGCCTCGGCGCCCTGCACACTCGTCTTAACCATTCGCCACAGCTTCATGGTTGGAAGGGGGGTCGTTATCAAAGTTGGCCTCTCGCACGCGGTGAGCGAAAGGGGGAAGATTTCCTTTCCCCCCTAGGCTCGCCGCCGCGCATTAGCGTAGCGCACATGGACTCCAAAACTTACAACAACTACACAGATGGGGAGGGCGGTTCCTTGTCGTCAAAGTGGGGCTCTCGCATTGGTGCCGAACGCATTCGCCTTCAACGTCTGCAGCAATTACACGAGTGGATGGCGGTGCAATTTCAAAATGTGACCATCGCCTTCGCGCCGCGCACAATCGCTGTTGTAAGATCTTGCGCGCGTTGTTCGGATGGAGGTCTGTTCGTTTTCAGATGTCGGTTATCGCTTGAGGATTCCGGAATACTACCAGCCTGGAAATATGTAGACCTCCATGGATCGATCGCGGCTGATCTCAAAACCGAGCGATCGCTTGATAACCATCGAGATTCACGACCACACTTGTAAGTTTGCACAACAGTTGCACGGATGGGTGGCGGTCATTGTTTTCCGATGGATGATCGCGCTGGACACCTGGCTGGGATGTATGATCACAGTTTTACGTGCTCCAGACCACGCGCCAGAATGATGCAACGCCATTCCTTTTCACATGGGCGCACTCGCCACATGGCAGGCTTATACGGTGCTTGTCTTTCATGGGGGAGAAGGGGGGTCGTCTGTCGTGAAACAAAGGCACTGGAGACACTGGGACGGGAGGGTGCATTGCAGCATCGTTGCGACATCTTGGGTTCACTCTGGTACCCCTCTTCCAGGTCCTCCTCGTTCCTCGCACTCTCCTCAGTCATGTCGTGGTTCTTGATCTCAACCTTGCGCCCAGACTCCGCCATGGCGGTCGGGGGGGAGGGGGAGGAGGGCTGTGGGGAGCGCCGACCGCGCGCGCCCGCGCGTCAGGACCAGGCCTGGAGGAGAGGGAGGAGAAAGGAGGGGCAGGAGAGGAAGGGATAGGAAGGAGGAAGGGGAGGAGGACGAGGAGGAGGAGGAGGAGGAGGAGGAGGAAGAGGAGGAGGAGGGGGAGGAGGAGGCGGAGGAGGAGGGGGAGAGGAGGGGGGGAGGGGAGGAGGAGGAGGAGGAGGAGGAGGAGCAGGAGGAGAAGGGAAGGTGGGGAGGTGGAGGATGGAGGTATAAAAGTGGCTACAGGATGAAGGGGAGGAGGACGATCGGAGGGAGAAGACGAGGGGGGGCCGCTGGGAGGAGGGGGAGGGGAGGAGTTGGGAGGAGCAGGGGGGCAGTGTGAGGGCGGGGCGCGGGAGGGGCATGTGCGTGGGAGGGGAGAAGGTGGGAGGAGGCAAAGGAGCGATAGGGAACGCGGGGGATGGGGGAGGGCGGCGCTCTCGGCTGTGGAGGCTACGACGAAGCCAGGACGAGAGATAAATTCGGGTGAGGATCTGCTCAGACTGGCACCAGCCAACGTGAGCAATGGGGCAACGAGACCTGCACAAGTCCATTGCCCCAGGCCCGGCCCATCTTTGCATCCTTGGCCCAGAAGCGGTGCATACACCTCCCTGGCCAAGCCATGAGGACGTATACAACGATCCTGGGCCCAGGATGGGCCAGGCCCGTGGCAGTGGAGATGTAGCTCGGGCCGGGCCTGGCGCGAGCCCGGGCGCGGGCGTGCAGGGCAGCGCTCCCATCCCAAACACCCGTCTGCTAGTCCGTATCTGGCACCGTCCAGAGCACACAAAAAATAATTATCCAGGGGGCACAAAAAATAATTATCCAGGGGACACTATATCGGATCGGACGACACGAGGGGGCAATAAAGGGTAGGTTAGCGAAGCAATTGACGTAATTCGCCGATTCTCCCAGCGCCAATGTATCAAGGAAAACGCCAGGCGGCGGGGCAGAAGCCAGCTACACGCAACAGATGTCGTAACTCCCCCCTTACCCTGACCCCCCGTTCGTTCGACCCAATGATCGACCGACCATTACGTCTTAAAACCTAGACTACTACAAAGTTTCTGCTCAGAAAGGCTCTGGTGCTAATGTTGCTCAGCCCTGCTGGGAAGCCAAAACAAAGGTCCGGAAGGAAACGGGTAATGGACGTCCCGGGCCCACGTGCCAGCCTCCATGCACGACCTGGAACGGCAAACTTCTCTAGCCGGCTGGCTTTCACTTGAGCCGCTGGCAGCTTGCAGCCGTCCTTGTCTTCGAGACGTCGCAGTGTTCTCGTGGCGGCACACGGAGGCTCTCGACCTCTTCATCCACGGGCTGGCTTTTCGTCATGAATCGTTCTTTGCCGGTACTGGGCGACGAAACCAGCCTCTGCGAACAAAAACGACGGACCCCTCCAGGCGCGCTTTCTGGCCATATTTCCGAGGGGGATACGGCAGTGGCGACGAACATGAAGAATCCAAGAAACAACATGCAACAATGAATATCCAACTGAAACCTCGAACCTCGAGGCATTTTTCCCGAGCCGCAGGAGACTTCAACTTCGGAGGTCAATAGTCGCAACGCCCCCCGGACAAGTCCAAGGAATGTGTTCTGACCAGAATTCCGAAGAAGGGGCCAAGCCGTTCTGACGAGAATGCCCTGGAAAGCCCAGGATGGCCCGAGAACCCTTCAAAAGAAAAACTTCCAGCTCCCTAAGATCCGACGTCGCGAAACAAAGTCACAACATCGCAAACAAAATCACGACCGCATGAATTCCTAGAACGTATCTATCTGTGGCACTTCTCCAGCCGGATCCACCCGTCAAAGTTCTGGGGCGCGAGCCCAGGCGAAAACGCCTGGCTTCAAAAACTGCGACGCCCAGATCTCAGGGCTCGGTCCGGTGCTTCGAGCTGATGGATGTCTGGAAGGATCCTGGTCCTGGGCTCTCGCGTCGCGATCGCGGCGCGGGGCAGGATTCTGCCCTCGGGCCGGGGGCGGCTGCGGAGAGGACTCGGCCACTTCCCTGGGGGCCCGTGTGTTTGACCGTCCCAGGTTCGGTCCTGATCTCCCAAAGTGCTGCCAGGAGACGCCCCAAGACGAGGGCGGCCGAAAAAGCCTCCAAGACGCACGGGGGGGCTTCCAATACGGACTCAGGAGAGCCCCGAGAGGCTCCCAAAGGCGGCCCCCGAGGAGCTGAATCATGAACTTCACGTCAACGCGCATGCGATTCGGGGATATTCGCCATCTCGGTCTGCGGAGCGCCCAAGGCGGCCCATCGTGCTCCCAAGAGCGCCCCAAAACGGCCAACAAGCGCAGAAGAAAATATCTGCTCCGAGTCGCAGGAGACTTAGGGGGTCCACGCTCCACCCTGGGAGCTGCCCGAACGGGGCGCTCTGGATAGACCTTCGAAGAAGGAGCCCAGCGGTTGCGACGAAGGCCCAGGATGGCCCGAGAATCGAGGAACAACAAATCGCGTGAACATATGACCTGCGCTGATTTCTTGGATCGGGGCTGGAGCTTCCTTCCTGGCGCGCGGAGCGCGTCAAGAGCGGCACCAGAGGCGCCACCAAGAAGCTCCAGCGCCGATCCGAAAAATCCGCTCGGACCTCCACATTTTTTCCCCCAAACAGCTCGCTGAACTGAGTGCTGTCGTGGTAGGACCCCTAATTCACATCCGCGGGCGGGAGAGCAGAGACATCCTCAAGAACATGTGGTGGTCTCTCATTTTTGAGTTGGCCGGGATTGGGCGTTTCGCCCAAGACATCCTCGCAACTCTGAGCTCCCAAACGCCGCGCGCGAAGTGGTTCGGCGCGTTTCGCCTGAGACATCCTCTCAACTATGAGCTCGGAGATGCTGCGCGACAGGTGGTCTGGCGCGTTTCGCTTGAGACAGCCTCACAGTCATGCGCTCCGACCTGCGGCGCGCGAGGTGGTCTGGCACGTTTCGCCTGAGACACCCTCGCAACTCTGAGCTCCGAGATGCCGCGCGCGAAATGGTCTGGCGCGTTTCCCCTGAGACATCCTCTCAATTCTGATGTTCGAGATGCTGCGCGAGAGGTGATCTGGCCCGTTTCGCCTGAGACATCCTCGCAACTCTGAGCTCTGAGCTGCCGCGCGGAAGGTGGTCTGGCGCGTTTCGCCTGAGACATCCACGCAGTTGTGCGGCTCCGAGCTGCTGCGCGCGAGGTGGTCTGGCGCGTTTCGCTTGAGACATCCTCGCGAGTCTAAGCTATGAGATACCGCGCGCGAGGTGCTCCAGCCCGTTTCGCTTAAGACATCCTTGCAACTCTTGGCTCCAAGATGCTGCGCGAGAGATGGTCAGGCACATTCCGCCTGAGACATCCTCTCAACTGAGCCCGGAGATGCTGCTCGACAATTGGTCCAGCCCGCTTCGCTTGAGGCATCCTCGCGCCCCTGAGCTTCGAGATGTCCCGCAACAGGTGGGCCGGCGCGTTTCGCCTAAGGCATCCCACAACTCTGGGCTCCGAGCTGTCGCGCGCGACGTGGTCCGGCGCGTTCCGCTTGAGATGTCCTGCCGACTCTGAGCTCCGAGATGCTGCGCGAGAGGTGGCCCTCTGCAGCTCCGAGGTGCTGCGCGAGAGGTGGTCCAGCCCGTATCCTCACAACTCTGGGCTCGGGGCCGGGGGTCCTCCTGGGGGGCCTGCAAGACCCAAGCTCAGCTGCCCCGATACGCAACACGCAACACGCAGCGTGTTGACACGGAGCTCAACACGTAGACTGAAAACGTAAAAATGACGCGATACGTTTGCCAAAACTTGGGCCACTACGCTGAGCCGACACGCAACGCATTGACACGGACATCTTGAACACGGTACGTGTTGCGTGTCAAACCGGGCGTATCGGGGCAACTAAAGACCCGATACAACATCGGGCCCCGGACGAGAGGGCGGGAGGCGTGAAGGGCCGAGCCGGGAGATCGGATCAAATCGGCTCGAAAATCGGAATCGGGCCGCATAGGCGCGGAAGTCGGAATCTGATCGGATCGGCTGCGCCAAACTGCACTTTGGCGCCCCTGCAAGCGTCGGGCCGCACCGAATCGCCAGACTGTTGAGATTCGATTGGATCGGGCGCAAGCGATGCCGAATCGGACCGATCGCACCGAAAAGGGCTCTGGAGGGCGGGACGATCGCGAGCAGGGCCCGCTGCCGGGTGCGCTTGTGCGCTCGAAGATGTCTCCCGAGGTCTGCTGGGGGCCCAGGTGACGAGCGCCAGAAGGGGCCTCGCCTTCGACGCGTCCGCTCCCTCGGCGGAAGCCGGCGGGAGGCGAGCGGACGCCGGGAGGAGGCAGAGCGGCGGCGGGCCCGCCGTTGGAAGCTGGCGCAGGGACGGCGAAGGCGGCGCAGAGGCAGAAGTCGGGCCTGTCCACATCGGGCAGAAGCTGGCGCAAGGACGGCACAGGCGGCGCATCTTGGGCGAAAAATTACACATACTCAAGAGATACCCCCCAAATGCCCAAAAATAGTCAAAACATCGTCCCCTGGCTATTTTGTTGACTATTCTTGGATATTCCACCTGTACAGAGGGACAGCCCCGACTTCAGCGTAGAGGCAGAAGCGAGCTTCCACTTTCTGGGGGCCCAGGCCTGCGCGCGAGCCGCCCGCGTGAGGCACCCACGGGTTGCCTGGCGTCGCGCCTGGCGCCGCCCTGCCGCCCCCCTCGAGAAGCGAAACACCTCTCCGGCCCACGTGCTCGTGAGCATCCTGCCTGTCGGCACCACACGCGCGAGAACACAGCGCCATGCCTACGGGGGAACCGGCTCCTCCCCCTCCGCGTGCGTTCGGTGCCGTTGCGGGGAGGAGGGCTCAAGGAACCGTGGCCAGGCTCAGGCCCGGCGGTGCCAAAAGCCCAATCCCAGCAGGGCGGCACGTCGACGGGCCTGGCCCGACTCCCGAAGAAGGCGCCCTCGGAGCATCGCTGGTTCTATCCAAAGGGGGACGGGGGCGACCCCCCGTAACGGACGTTACGGGTTCGTCGGATATGTAAACGAGCACAGGCTCCAAGGCGCGAAGCGCGAGGCCTGAGGCTGACGGGCATTCCCTGTGAGTTTTTGAGTTTTTGAACTTCACGCATGCTTCTTTCTGATGCTCCTCGATGGCTCTCGCCGAACAAAATGCCCAAGTCCGAGCGATGCCAAAGCCAGAGGCCGCCTGTGGTCACCGACGGGGCTTCGGCGGCCCTCGCCGCAGGTCTGGGCAGGCTCCGTTCCACATGGACCCCCCCCCTCCAGACCCCTCCTCGGGCGCGCCGCCGAGTGCCGACAGGTTTTCGCGCTGCGTCCAGCCGTGGCGATGAGAGCCCCCAAAGTCGCCCGGAGACAGGCCCGAGGACGACGACGACCGCGGCCCCCCGATGCCTCGGCGACGACGACGACGAGGACGTCAACAGCAACGCCGACGCCGACGTCGTCGAGTCCGCCGAGTGCAGGGCCGCGTCGGGCCGCGGGGCGCGGGGCGCCGCTGCACGCCCTCCGCGCCGTGGTCGCGGCCGACGAGGCGCGGGGGCGCGCCAGGCCAGGCCCTCTTGGGGTCGGAGCGCGTTGGGGCGCCGGGCGGGGCCCAGACCCCCTCGCGTCGCGGAAAAAGTACGACGGAAGGTCTGCTGCCATTTTCGGCCTCTGGGGGCCTGCCCTGGGCCCCGGAGCCATCCAAGAACGACTCGGGGAGGAGCGAGTCCCGGGGAATGGGTCGAGACCTCTGGGGGTCGACGCTGTGACAAAAAACACGACATCGGGGGTCTGGGGAGAGAGCGTGGTCCGAGCCCAGTGGATCAGAACTCCGGACTCGACCCCAAGCATTAGGCGCCCAAGTGCCTGTTCGAATTTCCTATACTGTTAGTCCTCCTCCTCCTCCTTCTCCTCCTCCGCCTCCTTCTCCTCCGCCTCCTTCTCCTCCTAGGTCGCCAAGGGCAATATCGAGAGATTCCCGACCCGCCAGGAGCCCGCGCTTCCTGTTCTAGGCCCTAGGCAAGATGCTGGATCGCACATATGGAAGGACAGTTTGATGTTGCAACCGCCAGGGCTGGAACCGAGTATCCTTGAACATTCCTTTCCAAGAACATGAGTGGAGCGTGTCGCGCCGTACGGCTGCCAACACATATAAAATTATAGCAGATGAAGATCTGATGGACGACGTGACCTTTGAAAGAGACATCCAATGCTTCTTCTCTTGCCTGGACGACCAACAGAGGGAGGCGACGACGACGACGACAGGAGAGAAGGACAGGGCGGAGGAGGCGACTTCGCGGGCACTACGGCCCCAGGGGGCAGCAACGTCCACCCCGGAGGGCCGTGCTGAAGCCCTGCCTGGCAGCCAACCAGCAGTTGCAACACATAGTAGCTACGAGTTGTTGCCATCGGTTGGATCGTGGTTGTTTCAGAAACAGCTCAACGTTCACTCCTATTGCGGCTAGAGCTCCCGCACACATGTGTGCGCATCATCGCGGGACTGGCGAAGGCAAGACTGTTGATTACTTCAGAGTGGCTTACCAGAACATGGCCATTGAAACAAGGCAGAATCAGTTCGCATACACACACCCACACACCGTCGGATAACGACTCTCATGTTGCAAGAGACAACAACATGACCACCAAGCCCACGAACATGTTGGAATATCCCGAATGCAAGTTAATTCATCGACAGATCACGCACTCGAGGAAATGATTTCGCTCCTGGAGGTGACACGGGCATTCAGTGTAGCATCTTGTAATACAACTTACCGACAGGTTCACCTTCAGATTGTAGTTGACAACCGACTGGACCAGGCGCATTAATACAAATACTTCTTTTTCCACATGGAGGAAGTCATATGCTTCGAGACCTGGTCGTTCCCACCACAGCGAGCACGGAGCATGACGTACACGGTAATCCAACCACAAGGCTGTCGCCAAGGAAGAAAAAGGCTGTAATCGTCTGCCTCTCGTGGCTCACGCCGCCCGCGCCCCCACCTCTTTGTCTCCCTGCTCTGCTCTGCTCCTCCTACCTTGGCCTTGGCTGTGGCTTCCTTCTCTCGTGCTCCTCGTTTCCGCGTTTCTCGCCCCACCTCAGGGCAGCGGAGTTCTCCACCCCGAGAATAAGGCTGAGAGTTCCATCGAAGCCTGAGCTCTGGGCGCGTTTGGCGCCAACGAGGAGTCACTCTGCTGCCGTTCCTCACAGGGGGGAGGAGGGGGGAGCGGGGAGGTTGGGGCGGGGGGAGAGAGAGAGAGAGAGAGAGAGTCAGAGAAAAAGAGAGAGAGAGAGAGAGAGCGAGCGCCCAGCGCACATAGTGCGGTTATGTTGCATCGATCAATGGTTCGATGGCCCGGTCTTGGGAGCACAAGCTCGGGGCCAGGCACGCCCCCAGACCGCAGCTCCCCTCCGCTGCTTAGTTTTTGGGACAGTCGGCTTCCTGCACGGGGCCCCCCTCACTGTAAATCACTTAGGGGCACCCCATACAGGCCTCTGGCGAGGCCGCCCTGCATCTATATCACCCCGCAGGGGCCTAGAGTGTCACAAGCAGCAGCTGCTGCTGCTGCTGCTTTCCGACCTGCTCCCGAAGCGCCTTTACTTTTTTGTACCTCCTCCTCCTCCTCCTCCTCGCCCCCGCACTTGAGGAAGAAGTGGCGGCCAAAGGCACAGCATGTCGTAAGCAGCAAGCCCTGTTCGAGAAACTGACCCTCCGCGTCGAGGAAGCGGAGGAGCGGCTCCGTATGTGCAAAAGCAAAAAGCTGCAGGCAGGGAGAGAAGTGGTCGTGGCCAAGACGGAGTGGGAAGCGGCTTGCGCCAAGCACATTCCTGCTACGGCAACAATGGTCGACTCGGCCAGTGAAGGGTCCACGCTGGACGTCTCGGCGATCCTGAGCGGCAGAGGGGCGGAAGTTCATTTGGTGGATGGCGAGCTCTTCTCATTCGAAGGCTGGGAAGTCCCCAGAAGAGGAGCTCAAGGACTGCAATCGCATCAAGTCGGACCTGGCCAAGTCGGTCAAGCAAGAACTTGTAAAGGTGCCGGGCCCGACGGCGGAGAGTCTCGCGGCCCTGCGCCAGGAGGCAAAGACGCTGCGTGACCGCCTCGGGAACAAACGCAGAAGGCAACTGACGGCACAGGTCGAGCGAGTGGCGACTCACCTGGAGCTAGCGCCCCAGGGGCAGCGGGATCGGCATCCCCGCCTCACAAAGGAGCAGCAGCAGCGACTCCTACCGCAGACGCGAGCGGAGGAGTCTGGGATGCGGAGCGTCAAGCTGCCCACGCCACTCCTGTGCCTGCTGATCTGCTGATGACGGTCCTACGGTCACCCTGCTCTTGGCAGATGCCAGGGTCAAAGCAAAAGCCACTTTGGACGCCACGAAGGCTTGCAACGAGTCAGGCTCCTGACAGTCCTCTGGCCACTGGAGCAATGGGCTGGCAACTTTCTTCCCAGCGCACGCTGACTAACGCTGACTAATGCCAATCATGGGGGTCAGTTGTTTCCAGATCACGCCAACCTGTTCATGACTACCAACTACGAGCGACGGTGGCCGGAAGGCGAGTGCAAAGACTTGTCCGCGGGAGGCCCAGAGGAGACCGATGCCCAATCAGGTCCTCGGCCTTCCCCCCACCTCGGCGGGATCCGGTTGCGTTCTGGCCGACAGGGCCCCGCTTTCGGGGGTGGCCGATGCCCCTGCAGCTTGCGCGGTCTACACCGGAGGGGAGGCCCAGCAAAGCGCTCGAGGTTACTGCTTCGGCTGAAGGATTACCGCACCTTCGGTGGCACGGGCGCTGGGCCCCGACGGAGCGGGTGGCCGAAGCCCCCGCGCGCCTTCAGCACGACGGCCCCCACGTAGATGTGGATGGACTGGGTGGCGTTGCTTCCAAAAGGGCAGACCCAGGAGCGCAGAGGCTCTCCCGCGTTTGATGAGACCGAAGGGCCCCCCTTCGGGGAAGTGGTCCATGCCCCCTTCGAGTCCTCAGCCGTACCCCCCGCTGCGGTGGGATCCGACAGCGTTGTGATCTGCAGGGCCCCAATTCTGGAGATGGCCGAGGCCCCTGCAAGGCCCGTGTCGGAAGGAGTTACCGACGAAGCGTTCGAAAGGGATCTGCCGCAAGGAGGTCGGCCGTACTTCTGAGGTCGGCTGCGCGGGGCCCCGACAAAGGGGGTGGCCGAAGCACCCACCCAGCCCATTCGCGACGGTTGCAGCAGGACGGAGAGTGCGTGTGTGTGTGTGTCTTTTGACGGGCTGCGTACTGTGCATTCGACAATGGCCACGGCTACGGCTACGGTTACGGCTCCGCGCGCGTGGCGCCATGAAGGTGCGGCGGAGTGGGCGCCGAGGCGCCTGCTACAGCACATGCGTGTGAAACAATGTGACATGCTGCATGTGCGCCAAAAAGACTCGATGGACAGATGATCTACGTAACTTGGTCATGGATTGCTGTGGGCATTTGGATTGGCTCCGTGTCGTTACCACGCTGGTGTTGGACGACCTCCAGGACACGCGCGTTCAGCAATGATACTGCCGGTCCTTCCTCCACCTCCTCCTCCTCCTCCTCCTCCTCTTCTTCTTACTCCTCCCATGCCTTCGACAATGCTCGACGCAATTGGCACTTCCATCTACCGTCCGCGCCTGAGGATCCTCTGCGCCGCCGGCTCAAAAGTGTATGTGTGTGTGTGTGCGTGAAGTGGCAGCGCCACACCCCGCCTCCTCTTCCTAGCCCTCCTCCTCCTCCTCCACCTTCCCACCTTCCCCACTCTCCTCCTTTTCCTCCTCTCCTCCTTTTCCTCCCCCTCCCCCTTGCCACCCGCATCATCCTCATAGTCAGCATCATCGTCGCCAGCATCACGGCATTCATACTCGTCACAGCCATCATCATTCACAACACAGTTTCGGCACACCCCTCGCAGGACACGCGGCCCCATCGGGCGCTGAGCTGACGGCCCCAATGGCAGGGTCCGCGTGTTGGCTCGGTCTCATTTTGGCACGCTCCTCACACGCCTCGTGGCCCCATTGGGAGCTCCACCGAAAGCCCAATGGCAAGGTTGACATGCGGACTCGGTCCCATTGTGGCACACTCCTCACACGTTTCGTGGCCCCACAGGGAGCTACACCAGCGGCCCCAGTTGCAGGGGTCAGGCCGAAGGTCGGGGGCATGCTCGATGCCTCGGAGGCATCGCCATGGTATGTCAAGCAGGTGCTGCCCCTGGACTTGGAGGCCTGACAGATGAAGCAGACTGACACACGCAAACACAAACACACACATGCACACGCACACGCACACGCACAAACACAGACACACTCACAAGCACACACAAGCACACACAGACACACACACAAGCACACACAAGCACACGCAAACGCACACGCAGATGCACACACAGACACACACGCAAGCGCACACAAGCACACACACAGACACACACAGAGGCAAACACAAGCACACGCAGACGCACACGCACACACAGACACACACACACGCACACAAGCACACGCACAGACACAAACACACACAAGCACACACACACACCCACACGCACGCGCACACACAGACACACACACACACGCACACAC